CAAAAAAAAAAAAAAAAAAATCACAGCAAACATATTAGGGCGCATCTACAGAAAAACAGTCCCTCTGCCCTGATTTTCCCCTTCTTCCCACACAAGGCAAATGTTACATGGATGCAGCGGGGACCCTCATGCTAAGTGAACTCTCACAGAAACAGAGGACTCGTAAGTGGGCCCTGATCACTGGACACACGTGTGCAAAGATGGGATCGGCAGACACTGGACCCTGCGAGGGGGAGTGGGGTGGGAGGGGAGGGATGGAGCCACATGGTAGCGCACTGGGAACCTGGTCCACTACTGGGAAGAGGACCAGCCAGAACAGCTGCATGCAACTTGCTCATGTAGTAAACCCTTACTTGTACCCCACAACTCCAAGCATTTTTATTTTGAGTCAGAGTCTCTGTCACCCAGGCTGGAGTGCATGGCACGCTCGCAGCCACCGCAGCCTCGACCTGCCGGGCTCAGGCGATCTTTCTGCCTCAGCCTTCCAAGGAGCTGGAACTATAGGCGCACACCATCACACTCTGCTACTTTTTTGATTTATTGTAGAGACGAGGTCTCGCCATGTAGCTCAGGCTGGTCTCAAACCCCTGAGCTCAGGCAATCCTCTTGCCTCCACCTCCCGAAGTGCTGGAATTATAGGTGTGAGCCACCGCGCCCAGCCCTAAAGTTTTATTTTTTATTTTATTTTTAAAAATAAGCTCTGTTATGGCCGGGCTCGGTGGCTCAGCCTGTCATCCCAACACTTTGGGAGGCCGAGGCGAGTGGTTTGCCTGAGCCCGCGGGTTCGGGACCCGCCCAGGCAACTTGGCGAGACCTCGTCTCTACAATAAATCAAAAAATGAGCCGGGCGTGGTAGCACGCGCCTGTAGTCCCAGCTACTTGGAAGGCTGAGGCGGAAGGATCGCCGGAGCCCAGCAGGTCGAGGCTGCGGTGGCTGAGAACGGCCACTGCACTCCGGTCTGGGTGAGACTCTGACTCAAAAAAAATAAAAATAAAAAAATTAAAATTAGCTGGGCATAGCAGCGCACGCCTGTAGTGCTGGCTACTTGGAAGGCTGAGGCAGAAGGATCACAGGAGAGCCCAGCAGGTCAACGCTGGGGTGGCCGTGAGCGTGCCACTGCACTCCAGCGTGGACGACGGAGTGAGAGTCCAACTTAAAATAAATAAATAACTAAGCAAGTAAAAACTAAGCTCCGCTGCAAAAACATTTCCTATGGCAGCACCTGTAACAGCCCACCGCCCCAGCACCAGGTCAGCGGAGTTCTTCAGAGACGCCACGCCTCCGTGGCCCACGCATGGCCCTCCCCGCCATCTCGGCTGCATCCCACCAGCACACAGCAAGCCTGGCTGTCTGTCCGCCTCCTTGGCTCTTTTTCCTTTGCCCACTCACCATTTCTGCCTCCGGAGGTCTGTCGATCCCGGGGCTGTGCCCAAGCCTGCTGCCCGCCAGCCCGCCTTACGCCTCCGCGGTCCCCATGGACGGCGTGACCGTGCCAGCCTCCCTGCCTCCCGCTCTGCTGTAGGTCTTCTTCCACATGGGTCGCGGGAGAGTGTTTCTCTGCCCAATAACCTCGTTAGCTCCCCCCTGGGACATTCACAACCCAAACGAGGCCGCCAGCCCATGGCCCTGGGCCCATAGAGGCCCGGGGTGGGAGCATCTGGCAGGGAAGGGGCAGCCCCGGCCCTCTCTTCCCTCCACCACAGGCCTCGGACAGGGAAGCGCGCCTCACATGTGCCCACTGCGAGCAACACCGACTCCTGCCGGCAGCATATGAATTAACTCCTAGAAGCAGGTGTGCCCTTGCACAAGGGGCCTCCACCCCTCTTTTTGTTTTGCTAAGAAAATGCCCACAGGTGCCTTCCCGGGGACACTGTCCCCTGCCCCACAGAACTGGGGAACACTGCATAGACTTGGCTCCTTGGAGCAGCTCAGAGTGGCGCCAATGGGCTGAGGGCCCACTGCAGCACCGCCCTCCGCTGCCCGCAATGTGCAGGTGGGTGACGGTGTCTGCCTCTGGCTCCCTGAGCTCAACCCAGGCCTCCCCTGAGCTTGTCAGACACTGAGGCAACGTCAGCACTCAAGCTAGTCCAGATCGTGAGACTTTTTTCCTTCCAAGTCCCTGGCCTCCCCTTTGTCTAGGAAGGGTTTGGGTTAGATCTGCTTTCTTTTTTTTTTCGATTGGAAAATTTAGTTTATTGAGACAGTAAATTAGAGAGGAGACCCGCCTTCCCAAGGTCAGGGAGGGGACAAAGCCTTGGAAAACATGGCCTGGCCATAGCTCAAAGAACACATGGCCACACCACAGCTTAGCAAGGCAATGGCAAATGGGGGGGGGGGGGGAAGAGAGAGAGAGAGAGAGAGAGAGAGAGAGAGATTGATTTGCCTTCCCAAGGCAGGG